CAGGAAAATAATAGTTGCAAAATTCACAGAAACTACCAGTTCTAAGCGGCATGCCGAAAGCTTGGTTGCCAAAATGTCATTCCGTCACACAAGTAAAAAGTTCATAAAATTAAAAATAAAAAAAATACAAAATTCTTTTTTTTTAGTTTATGAATCACATTATACCAATAATAATGATATGCATGAGAAAAAATCATGTTTATTTGAAATTAGATGCATAGAAACTTCAATTAATTGTCATCATGCAAGTCAAAATGTCATTCCGTCACATATGGAATTGCCCTGAGTTGAAGGATCCTTTTTTCATTTGTGTCTAGATGTGCTGGTTCAGGTGGCAGATATGCCCATACTTTATATTGTAAAACAACACATATTAGCTAAAAAGTAATATCTATTTTCCTGAATTACTATTCAAGTTGGTAATCAAAGTATATGCCATGAATTTTCTGATCGTGAATAGTCATCACATCACTAAATAAACATAAATACATTAGTTTGGAACTGTTCAAGTACATAAAAAGTGCTACAGGAAAATCAAGTCAATAGTTTGGAAATTATTCAAACTGCATGATTTTTATTTTATTTGCTGCCACTTTTTAGAATAACACTTAACAAATTTTCACATTGAAAAAGTTAACAAGTGTAATGTTACATACATAGATACAAATGCTATTTGTAAAAATTGTTAAAAATTTACCCTCAATACAAGATATTGGGTGAAATCAATATCTCCTCGAAAGGTTTTGTGTAATATCTTCACAAAAAAACAGAAATTCGGTAAAGTAACAATAAAGAGCTCTGTGTGAACTTTCAAAATGACTATCATGTCACATAGAATCTTCCCTTTTTCAACTCTTCATGTACACAATTTAGTATTTAATTAATTTTTACTGTCATATTTGAGTCGAAGTTAACAGTTATTTAAATGTAGTATTAATAATTATTTTAAAATTTTTTAAAAGGATGATCCGTTGAAATCTCAAATGAACAGTTTTCTTTTATCTACTGCAAGCCAACAAGAAATTCAAGGTTTGGATAATAAAGTATGTGTATTCAAATTATCTGTTTTAAAAAATGCTGTTTGTATATCATTTAAAAGATTATTTACTTATTTTTGTATCCATTTAATTTTATATGAAATAATATAATAAATTCCTTTGATCGTAAATTTCAGATTCATGAAACTGTTGAAACCATTAACCAATTGAAAACAAATCGAGAGTTCTTCCTCAGTTTTGCCAAAGAGCCTCAACAATTTATCTACAAGTGGCTTATCTCTCAGACTAGAGATCTTAAGGTAATATTTATATCATTTTTACTCACTGTTATTTAATTGTAATTGTTTAATTATGGCGTGGAATATTGTGCATTATTGTGTAATCAAATATATCTACACTAATTGGGTATTGTTAAGTGTTTATAATTCATCCTTTGTGATAATCTGAAAATAATACCATGGAAAAAAAAGTTTTTTTTTTTGGTTAATAAGATGTTAAAATAGAAAATTGTGTAGCAAATGACATTAAAAATCTTTATATGTGATACAACTCTTAAAAGTTTTTTAAAAAAAATCTAGCTGAATAAAGGGGTTTTAAATTTTTTTTATTAAACTATTTCTTTGGAAAAAAATTAAGAATTTTTTAAATGAGAAAAAAATTTTATGAACCTAATTTATGCAATTAAGCTTAATTTCAATTTGCTGCATATCTTGGACTCCTATTTTTGATTATGAAATAGCAAATTCCTGATATGTCAGGTGTATCAGTCAATCGCTGAAAAACTTAATCTAAAGCTTTTTAAAATTAAAAAACAAAAAAGTATTAAATCTATATAAGTTTCTCAAGTTAAAAATATTTCACATTGTTCTTTATGAATATGATACATTTGCCATCAAATAACGATGCATTAACAAATGTTGTGAGGCAACTACTATGTTATCATTAAATCCACCAGTCTTCCAATTGGTAGCTTTATGGCATGTTTAAAAAATTTTCCTTGTTTTACATTTTTGAAATACTCTTGACTAAATTATCTTAACCTTTCGTTGCCTAATTTTTTTTAAATGTAGTTTATTGTTGTAGAAACAAAAAACCTTTAAATGTAAGAAAAATAAGATGAGAGAAAATGCAAAATTAATTGTATATAACATATTAAAGATAGTTTTTGAAAGTGATAAATTGATACATAGTTATTCATATCTATCCCATTATTTATCATACAGCTATATTTTACAATCAACGGATGTCTGAGTTTATTACTTGTTTATAATTTGACCTTCCTAATTTTCATAAATTTGGGTGTTTGAAAAATTGACTTAAACATCAGGATATGCATCAGTGTTTAAGGCACTAAGATGTTATAGAGCAGGGCCAGAGTCTGTCATCCTCAATCCGGATTTTCAGCTCGCTCAGATTTGAGATTCCTCTTAATCGATAAGTACTAATTTGTCTGGGAAGAGAGCCAGCCGATGTGTACGCTGACCACATTGCCACCATCATGCTGTTTGTTACAAAATTGTGGAGCCTTAACCTCTATAAATAATCTGCTGTTGCAGGAGTCCTTTTAATCACTAAGATTCACTCTGATTTACCCTTTTTTTACTGCACCAAACTTAGAAATAGGAAATTTACATAAAGAACTTAAATTCTAATTTTCAATATTATGCAATAAATTAAATAAAAAAATTTACTCATGCTTTTAAAATGAACATATCTTTGCTGACATTACCAAGAACTTTTTAAAACATTTAATTCTTTTATTGGTAGTTTTTTAAAAAGTAATTTTAAAGCAATTAACACTTATAATGGTCATAGCACAGTAGTACTTAAAGAGTTCCCATTGTGTATTCAAAAACTTAAGGAAAAAAGTTCTCACTTGGAGATGACATTTTTGCTTAAAAAAGTTTTTAATATTGTGATTATATGTATAATACATTGAAGAAAAGTGCAGGCAGGGTTAGTGTGTGAACATGACCTCAGGTAATCTTCGTCTACAATTAACAATTCAATTATATTGGTATACAGTTAATAAAATGAAGATGCTTTGCAGTTAATCTTTTTTATTCTGAGAATTGAAAACTTCCATACGTTTAATAACCGAAATTTTTTTTCTTCTTCCTCAGACTATGACAGATGTTGTTGGTAATCCTGAAGAAGAGAGGCGATCTGATTTCTACTATCAACCATGGGCTCAAGAGGCTGTATGTCGATACTTTTATGGTAAAGTGAACCAACGACGAGCTGAGTTGGAACAAGCACTGGGCATTCGAAACACATAATTTTTTTTTTTAAATAAACAGAACATTTGAGTAACGATAATTATTGTTCACTGTGAAAGTGTCTCCTTAGTTTAGTTTACACATATTCCAAGTATTTTAATTCTGCGATATGTTTTAATAAAATATCCATTGTAACATACTGTTTTTTTCTTTATTTGCAATATTTTTTAATGATACAGTCTTTAGAAATTCTAACATTTATTTTTCAGAAATAAATGCTTAGAAATATTTTGCTTGCCATTGTTGTAGCATAGATTGGATGGTTTTGAGAACTCCTCCAGACTAAAAGGTCTGGGGCTGTCTGCTGATATGGTAACAAGGGAGAGCACATTTCTAATGGGGGTGCAATGGAGGAATGATGGTGTCAATTGGTTTACTTACGCTGGCCTATGCCAAAATTGTTCACCCTACACCCCTATTAGAAGTGACTTTTCCTCGTAACCATGATGCAAGACTAGTGTCTAGAGGAGTTCTCCTGAAAGCCGCACTATAAATTTGTTATTTAATCAATCTAATAATATATTACTACTAACAAAACAATACTTGCAGTTTTATTTTGTTATGGAGAAAAAAAGTTTTTTTTTGAGGCAAGATTTTATATATTAGTATGAATTGGGGGAACTAATATAATATATAATGATTCAAATTTGTCTTTTTAAAAAAATACATCTCTCTGACATTTGATTTAAACAATTCAGTAATATCAGATTTGTTAAATAGAAAATATATGGGAACTGTTTAATAATTTCCTTCTAGCTAAAATAGTTAGCAGCAATATTTACTGAATTTTAGTTTCAAAATTAATTGAAACTATTTTTTTTCATTATTTGATCAAAAAACTATTGAACGAATTGCAGCTTTTAATGAAAATTTAATATAGGGCTATTCACTACTTCATGTATGTAATATGAATTTAGGTAATCTTTGTTTGCTTATTTTTTTACACATCATTATCAATTCAGTAGGATCAAAAATATTAATCTGAGAAATGTGTTTATTTGGTATATATTTAATTTTAAAAGTCATTGGGTGTATTATTTAAAAAGTATAACTAACAAGTAATTGAAAAAAGTAATTATTTATTTGAAGAATAGAATGAGCAACTCCACATTAAATATATTTCAAATTATCCATAGAATGATTTTACGCTAAGTTTCATGTTCAATTTCTCAGGAACTATTCTACCTATTTTGTAATTTAAAATTAAATATTTTTAAATAATGTAAAAAAAATATATACCTTACAATTCAAATTTTTTTCGACTATTAAATAAAACATAAACCAAAAGTTATTTTTTCATGTTCTTCGCATGCTATTTTCTTTGGATAAATGAATTTTATAATGGTGTGTAAATGTTTTGCAGTTCGCTTAAAAAGTTCGAGATAGGGAAGAATACACAAGTAAAATTAACAAGTCCCAAGATTTATACCGCTCCCTTGATCAAACTATTGGGACCATATTTCCCAGATTGTCGCTATACTATATTATGCGGTTATAAATATGATACCAGGGTGCATAGCCATATTTTTTACAAAAAATAAGCACCCTTTAAGCACTCAAAAAATTTTTAAGTACTTTTAGGATCTACGCACTTGTAAAATTATAAATTTTTTTTTGCCTATTATAGAAAGATCTGCATACATACATATATTAAAAAAATGCAATTTAATTATCGAAGACTTTAACATGATAGTAATGAAATAATTTTTCACCAACGATGAAAGTAACATGAAAAATAAACTTTTCTTTTGCCATTAGAGAAAATTAAAATTTCTTGCAAAATGCAGAGTTGCACATGATGGTGCAAGAATCCTTCCTTTCATGGCAAATTCAGTTCAGTATACGCACATGCAAACCTGCAAGTATTGCATCAAACATGTAAAATTATTGGTGCTTTATATGCTATGGACCGATGGTATGCCGAAATGGATTGTTAAAACGTCGAATAGAACAATGTGGAAATCAATGCTACAGAAAAAATCACTCATTTTGGAAGAGAGAAAATTAAGCACTTTTTAAAAATACCCAATGAAAAAAGCACCTTTAAGGGTTTCTAAAAAACGAAAACCGACAATAAGCACTTTTTAAAACCCTACTCACCCTGTGTTATGTTTATTCATTGAAAGTAAGTTCTTATATCCGATTTGGTAACTTAAAATATTGTTTGTACAAATTAATGAGCATTTTTGAGTTCACCCCTGTGAACCATTAAGTTACAAGAAAAGAAAATCTTTAGATCAAAATAATTCAGGATGGTTTGTTTTTCTGCATTGTACATATAATTAAAAATAGAGTGTTTATTTTTGTTGATACAGATTAATGTATCAATAAAATGAAATAGAAAAAAAGATTTGTAGGTGCTTAATGCTCAAAAAAATATATCTTGAATAAAGACAAACAAGATACATTCACTAGAACCACAAGCAGCAAATTCAAGGTATCAAAAAATTACATTAAGACATTTTTTAATGAAACAGACATTTTAAAAAGAAAAGACTTTATTATAAAGTATCAGAGATAATAGTTCTATTCTATAAACAAATTATTGATTTACAGTTTATGGAAACACATATGAATAATTTACAGGACCATGTCCAGTTCATGACGTGTGTATTTGTTTCTAGTGTCATCCGGAATTCTGGGATATCCAGCCACCAAAGAGTCCTGGCCACCAATGTATAACGTGTTGTAAATTTTCCAGTACACATCTCTAACTTTTCTTGCTGGATGGAAAAGACCCTGAAATATTTGTTAAAAAAGGATAAGAAAAATTTGCTTTCAAAAACTGATTTTGATATCAAAACTGATAATTGAGTTTAGAATGCAATTCTTATCCAAAAATAGCTACCTATACTATCTAGATATTATAAAAAGAGAAATAATCCACAACCAGATTTGTTTCATTCATAAATACATTCCTTGAAGGAGAGTTTAGAGTTGAAATAGTTCGTCGGCCTTGAACATTAATTCAAGTATATAATTATGAACAATAATTCAAACTGATTCCCAAACATAGTTAGGAATAGCATTTGGTTGCTTTTCTTCACAACCAATTGTTTTTTCTCCTGTTATTTAACCAATATATATTGCCTAAACGAAACTATTCATATAAAATTTTGAGTAAATTAGAATCACTGATATAAAGGATCCTTCCCCTGATTTTTGAATATTGTTTTTAAAACAAATTGAGCTACCAATCAACTATCATAACTGTAACAGCTTTCTTAAAGAAATGGAAACTAAGTTTCATCATACTTTAGCACTGAGAGAAAGCAAGATTATGCGTTGAGTAAAAGAACTTATCATCAACCTTGAATTAATAAAAAGCATTTTCTATAATACAGTTCAATGCAATTTAAATTTTATATACACATGCATTCAAATGATTATGACTTTTATGTGCATTCAAAATAATTCTCTTTGGAAACAGTCTGAAATTTTAAAATTTGTCATAGATACAATAAAAAGCAACAAAACTAATTATGACAAAATATTAGATAGAGTTGTTAATAACTTTTAATTTGAAATTATGTTGCCAGAAATGTAGAATGACAAATAAATCTGTCAACTCATTATCATAATTTATATCTTAAAATGTGGTGTGATAAAAGTTTCTCAGAAAATCATTCAATTTGATTTGAATGATCCAAATGCAAATTTTGATGGGTAATTAGCTACTTAAAATTATTTTTGGCACTCAAGTTTTGAAAATCAATTCTTGATGATTTTCCCTTTAAAATTTTGTACAGTTAAATTTTGATTAAAATGAAATAATAATTTGGCTTAATTAAGTCCAAGAATTTAATCAGTTCTCTTTAAACCCTATAGCAGACTCCTCCTCCTATACGGATTCTCTGTATTTTCAGAAAATATAATTTTAGTGGTTGTTAGATTAATGTATTTATATTTTAAATAAATAAGTATTAAAAGTATTATTCTCCTCTCCCACTAAACATAAGAAATTTAAACAGATGCATATAAAGTCATATAGACTAATCCTTAAGTTCCAATATTTTTTTTTTTTTCCAAAAAATTCTTTTTTAGCTCACTACCACTGTAAAAAATAATTAGCAACAACATCAAATAGTTGACGTTTCTCTGCCCTGTAGTAAACTACAGAAAGTACCAGAACCTATTTATGGCTTAACATAATACAACCATAATGAGAACCATCTAATAATTATCCAATTCTAGATAAAAAAAAAATGAAAAGAAAATAATAATGAAAACAATACCTGTAAACAGTACTGCAGTATTTTAATTGGACCCAATGCAACTCGGAGGCCTTCAACAGCACCCATAAAAGCTTGTACTAAATGAGGTGAGGTTTCAAAGATGTTTGGCCAAACATAATTTAAAAGGTGAACAAGGGCATCTTCACAACCAAATCCATACACACCTAATGCCATATGTTGAATTGCAGCACATGCAGTCTGTCTATGGACCAAGTCTCTGAAATAGTAATTATGTGATTTTAGGAACTGAATAAATTTAAATATTAAAGTAAACAAGCAAATTGTAACAAAAGCAAAATAGCAGAGATTTTAAAATATAAAGTTATATATAAAAGGAATAAAGACCAATGAAAGGAAGGAGAGAAACAAAATTTCTCACATATCTTAGAAAATTTGTTTTAACTAGAGTCTCATTTATTTTGGAATGAGTTACATAAATATTTTTAAAATTAAATTCAGGTAATATAAAAAAGCTATACGGTAAATTAAAATTTAAATGAGTGAGAGTAAAAATTAAACAATAAATAAAAATAACTTTAATTAATCAGTATAAAATGGTCATAAACTTGTCTGAAAAAAAGAAAAGTAAGCAATACTTCATTGACAGACACTAACTCAAAAAAAAAAAAAAAATAAAAATAAACTAATGGTTTTATTAAAAAAAAAATCCTAACTTTCTAAGAAACAGATTTATTGAAATAAATAGGGATTTTTTTCTGCACATCTCATAGAATTCAAAGATGATAATAATAAAAAAACTGAAATGCTCAGAGAAAATAAATAAATATTTCATTTTCTTGAAAGCCTAATTCTCAATTACAATGAAATAAAATTATGATAATCTTAATTCCAAAAGAAGCAAGCAATATTGTAGTTTTTATTTTTTTCTAGGTGACTACTGAAATATATATAATAAACATAAGTAATCTGCTAAACTAATATAAATAAAAGTTTTATCTAGAAAAACCTTTATTTTTATGCTAAAACTAATTTTTACCTTGTATAAATGTAATTTCTTATCACATTTATTTAAGATTAGAAACAGGGCATTTTCAATTTTTCAAACTTGCCTTAATCCCTATCAACACAAATGGCACCAATGTATTGATATATATTTTTACAAAAACTAGGATATTAAGTTACAATATAGTAACATTAACTTATTTGTTAAAAAAAACTAAAACACTTATTTTTATATAGTTTTAAAATTAATCCAACATCTATTTCAATAATAGAAGAATGAAAATGTTCTAATACCTGTCCATTAGTGCATCTTCAAGGAGAGGGGTAACAGCATAAATGTAATCCTTCCCCATTTCTCCAATGTATTCAAATAAGAAGGAAAGGGATTTGAGAACACCATTCTGAACATTCAATTCAGGCACTCTATATTCATTCATCAAGGCAGGGAGGACGGTGAATGGAGAGCATGTTTCTGCGACAATAGCAATGGCAACTGTGGTACACACCCTGTTTTGACGCTCTTGCACCTATAAAAACACATGTGTTTAACATTAGTATGCATACAACAAAATTAATTCAAATTCTATTGCAGGTATCTTAGTTTTAACAAATAGATCAATTATTAATAGTGATTAATTCTACTAATTTTTATAAGTAACAGAGAATCTATGAATGCAAATCATGAAATAGTCTTTAAAATGTTTTAAAAAGAAATATGAATTTGTTTATAAAACCTGGTTGACTAATAAACTGAAACAAGCATCAAATATTTTTGCAAAATTTAACATAAAGCAAAAACCATAATGTTACTTTTCATACCATAAAATCCTAGCATCTAGAAAATATGCATTTTTGTAAATAACTGGTTTAACTAATTTGAGCCACTGAAAATAATTGTTTGGGAAATTAAAATTTTATTACAAATCAAAATTAATTTTACTGAGTTTGGAAATATGTTTTAATAAAACAAAATAATAAAAAAAAAGCTCAAAGCAAATTTTACAAACTCGTTATTCATAACGCAAAAGGCTTTAGATTCATAATACTTTTATCATATAAAAGTTATAATTAATAATTTTTTTGGTAAAAAAAAAAAAAAAAATCTCAGAAATTTTTAGAAAATAAACAAAATTATCAAACAATTTTACAAAATGTTAACTGCTTTATATGTCATTTTACAAATTATCAATTTTTAAAAGGTGTAATTAAAAATATTACCTATAAAATAGATCATATTGGCCATATTAAATGTTGTACGAGCTGTAAATGACACATTTACAGTGGTACAAGAAGTGGATAAAAGCATTACTAAAGAAAATGTGTTGAGCATAAATATCTCATTTTACATTTACCAATGAAAGCAAAAATTTGAAAAATTCAACTATTTAAAGTAGATTTGGTTACAATTACTTGGGTTAATTAAGGTTTTATTGTGATTATATTTTAAAATAATCTTTTTTTTTAAAGTCCTGATATTTACTAAAACTCATAATATAATAATGCACTTACTCTTAAGTTGTTCAATAGAGTTGCAAGTACATCATGAGGACCAATAGCCTTGGCAATATAACCAAATGTGTTGACTGTAGCTCGTCTGATAGCTTTCTTGTGTGCTTTTAGTAGTTCCAGCAGCTCAAAACATATTCTCATCCATTCTTTAGCTGAGACATACTCAGCTCCTCTATCTGCTATCCTACCCACTAAATCAATGCAATTCTCTTGTACTTTTTCATGTCTGAAAAGAGAAAATTATATTTGTAACTAATGAAATTAAATAGAGAAAGATAAATCAGGACATACTGTAACCACAATAGGGCTAAAAGTACTTCATTAAAAAAAAAAAAGTACTCTAGATTACATGAAATCATAGCTAGTAATAAACTTACAATTAGAATCAAGCTTATAGATTTTTTATCACTATTACTTATAACCTGGACACGAAATTTCCACTTGCCATTAGCAATTAAATATTCAGAGCTGGCGAGTAAGTTTCATCTTTTAAAAGTTTTAAACTAAAATATTTAATGTTGAAATTGTCTTACCCAAATGAATAAATTTGCTGAGTCGCCTACAAAACCATTCTTTTTTGAATCATTGTCATCTTCAAACCACATTTTTTAAAAAATTTAATATTATTCCAATAAATATGTTTAGATTTCGTACTTTTTAGATTCTCCAACTATTCTGGTGACTAAAAATTTTTTCATACTACGTTTGTTAACATTTAAATTTATTTTTGTATCTTTCATGTATGCAAAATAGTGTCGAGCAAAAAATTTTTAGACTGGCTAATCTCTTTAGATCTAAAAGTTTATGTCCTGGTTTATAATATTAGAAAATTATTTCTTGTAAGTGTGGTTCAATATTACTCACAATCATGATTAGAATAATAAAATGATTCTACATAATCACAATTAAAATTATTATCTGTAATTACATTTACTTGTAATAAATTATATTTTATCCAGTTCTGCATTCATCACAACCTTATCACTATCAGGTAATGAGAAACCTTACAATATAAACAAAAAAAGGCTAGAAGAAATAAATTAAAATATTTTTAGAAGCAATTTTAGTGCAGAAATTCAGATAAAATAATAAAAACTAGTTTTAATGTAACAACAGAATTTTCTTTTGTTGAATTGTCCAATAAATTCTTTTGTCAAATAGGATTCCATTTCATTCTGTTTTTTTTTTTTTTTTTTTTTTTTTTTTTTTTTTTTTTTTTTTTTTTTTTTNTTTTTTTTTTTTAAAGATTACTCAATAGCTGTTCATTTTAAAAATGGAATTTACCTGGGGGTCATTCCATGTCAAATCATACAGGATTTTACAAAAATGGCACCCACCGTCTCAGATTTTGATGAAAATTTGTACACTTATAGAATTTTTTGTGCTGATTTCAAAAATATCAATTATGTTTAAATCGGTTAAGGGGTTTAAAAGTTATAAGCATTTGTATTTTTGCCAAAATGGCACATTTGCCGCCATTTTGATTCATACATCAAAGGCTATTAATGATTGTAACTCACCTTATATTTATGATAGAGCAATAATTTTTTTTTTATTTTGTTCAGAATAAAGTAATCTGTCATATAAAAACTTTTTTTTTGCAAATAAGTATCTTACTTATTTAGTAAATGGGTCTGTTTTGCAGTTTTTTGATCAACGGAGTTGAGTAACTTCAGGAGATTATTTCTGGCAACTCGCCCCCTTCAATTTCAAAAATATTTTATTCAAAGATAGTTGAAAGTGCAAACTAACATCTGATATAAAAATTTCGATGGGCCGTTCACTCACTTTTTAAAAAAAATATTTTTTTCTTATGAATCATTATGCGTTAAAAGTACTCATAGTTTGATGATTTATAGTCCTTAATTATAACTAGAGTATAATAAAATGATATAAAAAAATGTGAATGGTAGAAAAATATGTAAAATAAAGTAATCATTTATTAAATTTTTTTTTCTT